AACGTTTTAACGCTAATAACATGATATTTTTCAAAGGAAATATTATTAATTAAATTTAATAAAATTTCATTTTTCCTATATAAAAAAAACTTTACCAAATAGGCGGTAGTATCTTGTATCCATAAAATATTCACACAATTCAACCAGCCCTTACCGATTCACTTGTGTAATGTTGAGGACTACTCTCGCTTGTTTTGTCTTCTGTCTCATCCATATCCCCATTAGTTTGAACATCGTTTTGTCTCACAACTTCCATTGGAGGCATTCGCTCTAACAGAGCAGATCGCAGATGATTGTATTTACCAAAAAGTTGCGAGAACTCTACGCCTCTTTGTTGTAATTCAATGTGTAGAGATGAACAAAATGAACTAATAATCTGCTGGATTTTACTAAAACAGGAAAATTGAAGTTTTGCAATTTTTTAAAAATTTGGAACTTTTCGTATACAGTCGCAACTGAAAAAATTTCTTACTTATTTGTTTGGGTAAATCTAGTACTTAATTTTGTGAGACTCATTAAGGTGTATTGTTTGGTGGTAGATGAATTTTGTGGCGACCACAATATTCTCTGGTAGCAATTTATAACATCCTCTTCTGTAGGTCTTTCAAAGTTCATTCCGTCCTCTATTGGTGCCGTTAATAAAGCATCTCCATATTCCCCAATAGCCCAAACGGCTACTTGTGTCAGAGGTTGTTTATCACAAACATCTACAGAAAGTGCTTGCCATAACTGCAAGGTTATATATGCTTGTTGTGATGTAGTTTCAGATATAAGCTGAATTGTAGACGATATAACGTCATCTCTCACGTAATTTCCAGCCTAAAAAATTATTTTACGAAAATTACATAATTATAGATAAAAGTAAATCAAGTAAATATAAGCTTTTCAATGATCTTACCCTGTTCATTAGTAAAATTTGAAAAGATTGTTACAAAAAGAACTTTTTAATGCTTCAATTTTGTTTTAATCTACCAGTACAATGTTTACGTATTATTAAAAAATACATCAACTACAGAATGATGTAATGAAGCATCAAAAAACTTTGTACTCCTTTACGTTTATTTAAAAAATGAGACGCAATAAAATTTAAGAAGGCTGTAGTTTAACAAACTAATAAAGTACCTTAGATCATGAACAAAAAATAAAATTACTTAAAATGTTTAATATTTGGTTTATGATTTTACAAACTAAAGAAAATATGGAATTTTTTGTTTAAATAAAACTAATAGAAATAGAGCACTTACTGCAATTAATACTTTCAATAATGTATCCAAATGCCACCTCTTTGTGGGAGAGAAGCGTTCTGCTGCAAGAACAATGCCCGAGGAACAATGTGCTTTAAATTCTGAATCAGATTTTTCTAAAAACGTTAATAGTTCCTTCATCATTGTCCTAATATTTTGACCATTTATAAGAGCAAATGACAATTCCATTGCTCTCCGCCTAATTGAAACGTCCGGATCTTTAAGACATTCCAATATAGTCGATCTGTGTCTTTGAACAGCCGATGTATCGATGTAAACTGTCTTCAATAAAGTATTCAAAGCAACATATCGGATGTTTTTGTCATTATTTAATAAGAATCTTCCCAAAATGTTAATTGCCAGAACCTATATAAAAATCGAACTTTCTACTAAACCATTTAAACAATAGTGGAATTACACTTATCCTAAAACGTTATGCATTCTGATCTTAATAGATAAAAGCCGAAAAATCGGATTTCTTTAGTTTTTTAATATTCTGAAAAACTACAGGAGAAAGAAAATAACAATGTATAAGCGGTTTGTGTACATTGAAAATACCCACAGAATTTTCGAAATAGAGTTGTATAATCAAAATCGATCTAAAAACAACAACAACGAAACGCTTTCGTTAACAAGCTATGCAAAATTCTGGATCCTATAAAAATCATTGTATGTTGAGTGCTTTCTGCTTTGTCCTATACACATCATTTTGAAACCGTGTCTTTTTATTACCCCACCTATTAAAGGTATAGTAACCGAATTTATATTTCATTTAAGTTGTGTTGAACAGTTGTATTTGTCACTAACGATTAATGAAATTGATGTATGAATTTTCTTCTTTCTTGTTTGGAAGTCGTAGGAATCGTTTGTAAAACGTCAGGTGTACTTGTTCAATTTCCTCACTAAATTTTAACTTCCAAAATAAACCGTCGCTTTTTACATATTAAATAGTAAATATTTGATATATTTGTAGAAATTTAGTCACAGACACTGCTAATAATAGGTTGTGACACGAAATAAAATCTAAATAAACTGAAAAATATT